AACTAATACAATATTTGTCCTTCTATCATTGACTTATTCCACTCAGCATAATGTCCTCCAAGTTCACCCATGTTCTGCAGTGTTTTGCAGATTCTACAGTATTTCTTTAACGTTTTACAGAGCAAAGATGTCACTTTGAAGACTAAGGTGCACCTGACCCAAACCACGGCATTTTCAATAGACTCATATGCACGTGAGAGCTGGACAATGCATAAGGGAGACCGAAGACGAGTTGATGTCTTTGTGTTGATGTGTTGGTGAAGAATATTAAATATACCCCGGACTGCCAGAGGAACGAACAAATCCGTCCTGGAAGGAGTAGAGCCAGAATGCTCCTTAGAAGTGAGGATGGTAAGACTTCATCTCAAGTACAAGAGGGACCAGTCCCTGGAGAAGGATGTCAGGCTTGAAAAAGTAGAGAGTGAGCAGAGGAGAGGCAGACCCTCAACGAGGCGGACTGACACTGTGGCTGCAATGATGGGCTCAAGCACAGTAGTGCCTGAGGCTGGGGCGGGACCAGGCAGGGTTTCGTTCTGTGGTCCATGGGTCGCTGTGAGTCGGAGCCAACTCGACGGCACCTAACAACAACAAGGGCTTGGGGTACGGGGAGAGTGGGGCCTCTAATGGGTAAGAGGTTTCTTCTTGCAGTGAAAATGTTCCAGGATAGTGATGGGGGAAATATGCTAACAAAAAAAAAAACTGAACTACACTTAAAAGGGCAAATTGCATGCTACGTGGTAATGCAGTGGACTGACATGGCCCGTCTAGCCACAATCTTTGTAACTGTAACTGCCACCAGGTGACTGGGTGGGCCTATGCAAATGAGGTGCTTGTGGCCCACCAAGGGGATTGGACAGCTTGCCGATAATGTAAATAAGGTCCATGGCACCATTGTGGGCACTGCTGTTGCTGCTGTGGTCAAGTGCCGTGGAGCTGGCTCTCCGTAGCAATCCTGGGTACAACAGAACGAAACACTGCCTGGTCCGGCACCAGACAGTGTCTGGCCATTCTCACTTCTGAGGAGCAGTCCGGCTGCACTCTTCCAGGACGGATTTGTTCGTTCCTCTGGCAGTGACTAGTGTCTTTAATATCCTTCGCCAGCAACACAGCTCAAATGCTTTCGCGAGTGTCACCATATTACATGTAAATAACCCGGACGGTGCAGCCAGTCCTCTGCCCACACCCTGCATCGCCCCCATCTCGCCCTCAATAAAAGTGGGTCCCTGCCTGGCCTGGCAGGCCCCGTTCCCCCTCAGCCTCCTGCCTGTTCTCCCTCTGCTCCTGGTACCCTGGCCCCCTCACTGCTTCTGGAACCCCAGCTCTCACTGTTCCCTCTGCCCAGCACAGTTTCCCTGCACACTGACCCCCGCCCCTCCCCCGCCCCAAGCAGGAGACCCACCTGGCCCACCCTTTGAACCTGCACCCCCTTCTGGCGTCCACACCCCCCTCTCCATGCTCCTCTTTCCCTAGCACTGACACGCAGCACAGGGCACAATTTTATCACTTAAGCCTCCCTAGACACTAGTCCAGGTGGGTGGGGACCTCATCTGCCTTGTTCACTGACCTGTCCCCCGCTCTTACACGTGGTAGGCCAAACAAACCCAACCCAACCCAACCCAACCCAACCCAGCACCACCAAGTCGATTCCGACCCAGGAACCCTAGAGGACCGAGAACTGACCCCACCGCGTTTCCAAGGCTGCATCTTTATGGAAGCAGACTGTCTCATCTTTCTCCCGCAGAGCAGCTGCTGGGTTTCAACCCACCTTTTGGTTGGCAGCCAATGCTTTAACCACCACGCCACCAGAGCTCCACATGGTCGGCACTCAACAAATACTTCTTAAATAATGACGGCAACTAAATCATGTCTAATTAAATGGAACCTTGAAAACCACAATAAATGGCTGGATACTCTTTTCCACACACAGAAAAGGCCACGGGGGAAGGCTCCCCAGTTGGCTTAGCCGTTTGAGCTCTCGGCTGCCATCTGAAGGGTTCAAATCCACCCATGGGTGCCGAGGAAGCAAAGCCTGGCTATCTGCTTCTGAAAGGTCACAGCCTGTAAACCCTGTGGTGGTGGTGGTGGTTGTTTGCCGTCGAGTCGGTCCCGACTCATAGCGACCCCTCCTTGGGTTTCCGAGGCAGTATCACTACGGAAGTAGGATTGCCCAACCTTCCTTCCGAGGAGTGGCCGGTGGGTTTGAACCGCCAGCCTTCTGGTGAGCAGTCCAGGGCCTTAGGCACTATGCTACCAGAGCTCCTATGAACAGTTTATTCTGCACACACAGGTCGCCGTGAATCCGAATCCACACCAGGCGTCGTCGGTCAGCCCAGTAGGGTGTGGACCCACAAAGGGTCTGCGACCCGGGGTGAGGACGACGCGGGGACAAAAGGGCCGCGGCCTCTGCATATGGGCAGGCCCCGCAGAAGGGGTGCCGACCCGGACCCCACAACGCATCGGCCGTCTGCGGAGAATGGAGCCCTCGCCCAGCGATCCCGGACCCCTGGAGCCCCACAGCCCCTACGAGGTGGGCTGTCCGAACTCTAGCAGCTCCCGCCTCCCTGGAGCGCCCCCTGGCGGCGGCCGCAAGGGCCCAGGCGGAAGTGGCTGTGGCCGGCCTTGGGGCGCATGCGCCAAGCCCGGAGCTGTCGCGAGACTAGGCGACCTGGCCTCGCGGTGACACGATGGACTTCCGGTGGCGGGGCCCTGGCCAGAGCGAGCGCTCAGGGGTCCGAGTGTCGCAAGTGCTGCGGCTGCCGGCTGGGGCCGCGGGCGCTAAGCGGACAGACGCCGGGGCCGCGGCCCTGAGCAGGCGGAGACCGCAGTGCTGGGCCGAGCCCTGGCCGTCGCCGCGGCCATGGACCCGTTCCTGGTGCTGCTGCACTCGATGTCGGCCGGCCTGTCGAGCAACGAGCTGACCGAGCTTAAGTTCTTGTGCCGCGAGCGCGTGAGCAAGAGGAAGCTGGAGCGCGTGCAGAGCGGCCTCGACCTCTTCTCGGTGCTGCTCGAGCAGAGCGACCTGGCTCCCGACCGCCCCGAGCTGCTGCGCGAGCTGCTCGCCTCCCTGCGGCGCCACGACCTGCTGCGGCGCCTGGACGACTTCGAAGCGGGCGCGGCGGCCGGGGCCGGGACCGCGGAGGAAGGTGGGCGCACGGGGGCCGGGGAGGCGGGGCGGCAGGTGAGCATCAGGAGGGGGACCGTGGCCGGGTCGGTGGGGAGCGCCGCCGGCCGGGGCTTGATGTGGGTGCGTTTCCTCTGATCCTGGGAGGCGGGAGGCGTCCCCAGTGTACAGACCGGAGAGCTGGGACCCGGAGAAGCGGGCCTGCTCCAGGCCCCGAGCCGCAGGCCGGTTGGGCGCTCACCCTCGGCCTGTTTTTCTCCCGTCGCCCCACTTCCTCCCAGGGAGATCCGGAACGCGGGCATTCCTACCCTCTGAGCAGAGAAGGGTGGGGCGGGAGGGAGGCGGACCCGGCCCCGTCAGTCCACGTCGGTCTCTGGGTCTGAGTCCGACCAAGGATCCCAACCCCGGAGAGCCCAGTACTATCCGCAGCACTGTGTTAGCGGCCGTTGCTCAGCGACCTCAGGCGCTTAGACGGAAGCTCGGTGCCAGGCCTTTCTTCCACAGCGCCACTGACTGGGTTCGAACTGCCATCCTTCCATTAGCAGCGAATGCAAACCACTGACATCCCCCGGGCCTTTCTAACGCTTTAAATCATTACCTGACTCTCCCAGGAGCCCTGTAAGTTAGATGGGAGTATGTCCGTCGCTGATGTCGGTTTGTAGTGGAGCTACACCAGGAGGTAGTGGGAGTGGGCGGTAATGGGCGCTTGAGGCTGGTGGTCAGGAGTGCCGTGGATGCTGGAGCCGGACCCGTGTTTCTCATCCGGGCTCTGCCCGATTCAATCTGTGTGACCTCAGATGAACCACGGAGTTTCCTTGTGCCTCAGTTTCCTCCCCTGTTCAGCAGTCACAGTGACCCCAGTGCCACTTGCAGGGTCGCTGTGGGGGTTGGGTGAGTTGGTGCTGTGCAGACAGCCCCTCCGGTGCTCCAGCTGGAGACCCCGACTCAAAGGAACCCCCCACGCAGCTTCCTGCTCTGCCCACGCCACCCGGCCCCCATTCCAGACACAGCCTGTTAGGGTCACAGTGCTCCTCTCCCTGCATCAGCAGCGTGTGGCAGAGGGACAGGTGACCAGGCTCCAAAGACTGCTGGTCAGTCAGGGATGTTTCCAGAGTAAGGGTCGCAGTGTCTGGTGTTAACTGCTGTCGAGTCAGTCCTGGATCCCGGCGACCCATCTGTCACACGGCACAACTGCTCCCTCGCGTGGTGTTAGCTGTCGTTGCAGAAGCAGGTTGACGGGTCACAGAGCTGCTGGGGGAGTTCGAACCACCAACCTTGACCTTAGCGGCCGATCGGAAACCTTTTGCATCGCCCACAGGCCTTGTTAGGCTACTAAGACTGCCACAAGAAGTCACCACAAGCTGGTGACTGTAGAACAAGGAAAATTGGTTTTCTTACGATTCTGGGGCCGGAAATCCAAACGTGAGGTGTCCACAGAGCCGCGCTCCTTGCACAAGCTCTCAGGGCCGCCTCTGCTGGCTCCAGCCGCTCCTGAACTGCATCACTCCCATCCTGCTGCTTCTTCGCTTGGCCCTCTCCTCTCTTTGGGTCTCTTACAAAGATGCTTGTCATTGGCCCAGGCCCATGCTTACTGCAGGGTGGTCTCATCTCGGGGGCCAGGATTCCAGCTACAAAGACCCTTCTCCACCTGAAGGCACAGTCACAGGTCCGACAGATGGTGTGATGTGACGTATCTTGAGGGCCACAGTTCAGCACATCCCAGTGTGGGCTGCGGGTCTTGTGTTTTTCCTTCCTCCTGACAGCCCTCCAGCCCCTCCCTCAGTTTCCCTGGCCTTGGCAGCTGGCGCTCCCCACCAAGACGCACCCAGGGGCAGGGGGCCAGCGAGGGTGCAGTTGGGGGCATTTCTCCGGCTCTCTGGCATTCCTCCTGCAGCCTCTGCCCACCAGTCCTCTTAGGGCTGAGTCAGCATTGAGGAGTTCAAGGGTGGGGTTCCCTGTCCCCGCAAGAGCTCACCAAACCTCCGGTAAATCATTCCATCACTTCCCCCCGCAGACCTGCGTGCTGCATTTGACATCATCTGTGACAACGTGGGGAAGGAATGGAGGAGGCTGGCACGCCAACTCAAAATCTCTGATGCCAGGATCGACGCCATCGAAGAGCGCTATCCCCGGAACCTGACGGAGCAGGTGAGGGAGTCGCTGAGAACCTGGAAGGCTGCCAGGAGGGAGGCCGCGACTGTGCCCCAGCTGGTGGCAGCCCTCAGAGCCTGCAAGCTGAACCTGGTAGCTGACCTCCTAGAGGAGGAACAGGCCCGGAGTCTCCAGAACGGACGTGGGCCGTCAGCCCCAGTACCCTGGGACTCCGACGGCCCCACCTCCAGGGCTTCCTGACTGCCCAGTGTCTGCCCTTGGGCTCTGTCCCCCGCAATGTAACCACATCCCTGTGCCTTCACTGAGGAGACCTGGCCACGAGTAAAGCAGACGCAGCCCCAGCTCATGGAGCCACAGGCCGGTACTTCATGGACACCCCTCAGATGCCAGCTCAGGTCTGAGCCCTGAACGGAGACCGCCGTGTCCCTCACGGTCTCTGTCCAGTGAAGGGCTCACCGTCCCCATTACACGAGCTGAGACGGGAGAGAACACAGCAGCTGTGTTGTCATGTAGCAGGGTCTGATGGCACTCACTCCCATCGTTACTGTGCAGCAGGGGCCAGGGGCTCAGGCTGAGGACCCAGGAAAAGGCTGTGAGTAACAGGAGCATGGGGATTTGAACAGGCCACTCCAGGCTGCGGCACACCCCAGCTCACTGCCACCCCACACTACACAGAAGGGACGGTTTGCCACATTTCCAGGGAGGCCTTGGTCTAGCTTGCGTGCCAGGGCCAGCATGCAGTGCAGGGTGACCTATGCCTGCCCTGAACAAGGAAGGAAGCAGGACGGTCACTTGTGGCACCTGCTGGGTGCTCACATAGCAGTGACACCTGCTCGGTGCTCCACCAACATCCGCTCCTAGAAGCCTTAGGACTCCAACAGTCTCCTTTGTATTCTGTCATTCTCCGTTGGGTCCACGTCTTATTTTGCTGATATCAGACTTGGGAAGGGAGTGAGGCCCTGGGATTTAAAGAGCTCCCCTCCCCCTACCCTGAGGTGCAGCCTACCGGGGCAATGCCTTTACAGCAGGAATGTCTGTCCTGCAAGCAACGGGCCATTCCTATCAAGGAGTCACAAGTAATTGTGGCCTAGAGGAGGCAGTTATGGTCCTCCTGGTGACACCAACAGCCTCGCTGGAGCACACAGATGTTCACCAGTCCGTCAGGAGCCTGGGGGTGCTGCAAGCACCCCACCTATGCTGGCATCCCACGGCTGGCATTGCCACACACCAGCCACACGTAGCAGCGTCCCAGCCCCCAACAGCGCCTGCCTCTTTGAGCCTCTGGTCAGACCTGGTTCTGTTGGTAACAGACTTCATCAGCAATAAATGTGAACAACTTGGCAAACCAGTAGCTTTGGGGAGTCTCTTTTCTGGAGACAAAGGAAAGACTCTCCATGCTCCTTGAGTGGAGCAGGTTACAGCATAAACCGCTGAGGTGTGGGAGTGCCTGGTGCCCCGGCCCCACCGAGCATCTCCACACATGCCTCACTGCCAGGCACCCTGGAACTGTCACACCCAGTGCTCTGATGTTGGCTTTGACAGCTCCAAATGTTCCCTGCCTGGGAACGAGCGCTGTGGGGCCTCACGGACACAGGGCTTGGTTCCCCACCAGGGTCACTGGCTTGCCTTACAGGATAACACGGGTCTGCCCTTCCCTCCAGCTAATGTCTGGGGACTTGGGGCAGGCGGCTTGTGGTCATTGGTGAGGCATGGGCTCGCCTGGGCCACACCAAGCCTCAGCCATCTACAGTGGTCTCAGAAACGGTGCTATTAGGTGCTATTGAGTCAGCTACAGCTCACAGCAACCCCACGTACAACAACAAGACCGCCCGGTCCTGCGCCAGCCTCACGATCCTTGCTATACCTCAGCCCATTGTTGCAGCCACTGTGTCCGTCCATCTCATTGAGGGCCTTCCCCTTTTTCCCTGACCCTCCACTTTACCAAGCATGACATCCCTCTCCAGGGAATGGTCCCTTCTGACCACATGACCAAAGCAGGTGAGATGAAGTCTGGCCATTCTTGCTTCTAAGGAGCATTCCAGCTGCACTTCTTCTAGGACAGATCTGTTGGTTCTTCTGGCAGTCCGTGGTACTTTCAGTGTTCTTCGCCAATACCACATCTCAAAAGCATAATTCTTCTTCAGTCTTCCTGTTCATTATCCAGCTTTCACATGCTTACAAGTCTACTGAAAATACCATGGCTTGGGTTAGGCGCACCTATCTTCAAAGAAACATCGTTGCTCTTGTTTTAAGAGGCCTTTTGCAGCAGATTTGCCCAATGCTCTACAGTCTGATGTCTTGACTGCTGCTTTCCATTGATGTTGATGGTAGCTCCAAGTAAAATGAAATCTTTGACAACTTTATTCTTTTCTCCATTTTTCGTGATGCTGCTTATTGGTCCAGTTGCGAGGATTTTCATTTTCTTTACATTGAGGTGTAATCCATACCGCAGACTGTAGTCTTTGATCTTCATCAGTAAGTGCTTCAGGTCCCCTTCACTTTGAGCGAGCACGGTTGTGTCGTCTGCATATCTCAAGTTGTTGATGAGCCTTCCTCCAATTCTGATGCCACATTCTTCATATAGGCCAGCTTCTTGGATTATTTGTTCAGCATACCGATTAAATAAGTATGGTGAAAGGATACAACCCTGACACACTCCCTTCCTGATTTTAAACCATGCAGTGTCTCCTTGTTATGTTCAAACAACAGCCTCTTGGTCTATGTACAAGTTCCTCACGAGCATAATTAAGTGTTCTGGAATTCCCGTTCTTCTCAATGTTACCTATAATTTGTTATGATCCACACAATCAAATGCTTTTGCATAGTCAATAAAGCACAAGTACACATCTTTCTGGTATTCTTTGCTTTGAGCCAAGATCCATCTGACGTCAGCCGTGATATCCCTCATTCCACATCCTCTTCTGAATCCAGCTTGCGTTTCTGGAAGTTCCCAGTTAGTATACTGCTGCAAAACTGTTCTTGAGTTATCTTCAGTGAGCTTTTACTTGTGTGTGATATGAATGATATTTGATAATTTGCACGTTCTGTTACATCACCTTTCTTTGGAATGGGCACACATACGGATCTCTTCCAGTCACTTGGCCAGGTAGCTGTCTTCCACATTTCTTGGCGTAGATGAGTGCGTCCAGTCCAGCATCCATCTGTTGAAACATCTCAGTGGATATTCCATCAATCCCTGGAGCCTTGTTCTTTGCTAATCCCTTCAGTGCATCTTCAACTTATTCCTTCAATACCATTGGTTCTTGATCATATGCCACTTCCTGAAATGGATGAACATCGACCAGTTCTTTTTGGTACAGTGACTGTGTATTATTTCCATCTTCTTTTGATGCTTCCTGCATCATTCAATATTTTGCCTATAGAATCTTTCAGTATTGCAACTCAAGGCTTGAATTTTTTCCTTCAGTTCTTTCAGGTTAAGAAATGCCGAACATTTACTTCCCTTTTGTTTTCCAACTCCAAGTCTTTGCGCATTTCATTTCATTATAATTATTGACTTTGTTTT